TTACTGAAACCAAACAGGGCAAACAAAATGGTGAGAATAGACTCTTTTCTGTCGTGCAAATGACTGATCTAGGACCATTCCCATGGTAACTGTCATGGTAACTGGTCATGACAAGATCTGGACTCCACATGTCTATAATGTGGTTCTCAAGCTTGAATATCTGCTTATGAAAGAAATACTGCCTTATAATATTATACATCAAAAATTAAGCAAAATATACCCCTAATTACAGTGAACATAGGTTTAGATTTCACTTTGTTTATTTTCAATATATAACTGAATATATGCTAGACAATGCGCTGCACATTTTTTACTTCCTCATATGTCATTCTCTCTCACGGGAGACAGGAGGGAAACAGCAGATGGTACTCACTGCAGGTGTTTGTAAGCTCATAGTTTTTTTTTTTTTCCAATGAAGGCAATGTCCTAGGCCTTCATTACACATGTGTATAACAGTTGTCTTTCCTGAGTCACTGACTGTTCCCAGAATCATGTTGTCTTCCTTACTGTTCAAATCACTATTAAGTACGTCATGCAAATGTGAATCTTGGATCCACACTTCCTTGGGTGTTTGCACACAGAGCGATTTGATATGGTTTTGCTTACATTATATTAGAACCCTGTACTTGTTATGTAATGACACCTGAAAAATAATAGTACCCACTTTCCTTCACTTTATTAAGGAGAAGAAAGTTGTATTCAAGAAGTTGACTTCAAGAAGATGTTATACATCTTGTGTGCTACAAACACCAGTGATGTTGAGTTGCACAAAGACATGAAAGCTTCTTATGGGCAGTAAGGGAGATATTATGAAGAAAATGAAGTTTAAACCTAGGACAAAAGAATTAAATGCACTGGCATACAATAAAAAAGGATTCATTAAAGAAAAGAAAGAATGAGACCAGAATAGAAGATGGAAAAAATGGTTAGGAGGGCTCACCCTAAAGGAATCATCTTGCTGGCATATGAAATAGCTCAGTGAGTAAAGGCACATGTTGCCAAGGATGTAGAGTTTGCTCGTGGGGCACACATAATGGAAAGATAGAATCCACTCCTCTGTCTTCCACATGCATACCATGGCACACGTGCTGCATTAGCTTGTGCTTACACATGCGCACACACACAATAAATAAATAAATATATACATACATACATATACACACACACATACATACATAAGCTTGAAAAGAAAACAAGTGATAGTACCAGGTATGGCAGTAGACAAAATTATGGAAGGAAATAGTTGGTTCTTTTAATATTCTGGATATTCCCATCACCTGCCTCAAAGATAAAATGTCTGCTTAAACTATGACACATATTAAAGGGTTTATCAGATATTTAGAAGAATGGACAAATGCATGCGTTTGTATCCTGGTAGTCTTAACTCATATATGATCTCTTAATATTTGAATTAAACCTTATAATATGGTTGAAAAATTTACAAATCAAATACTTAAAAGTCTACATACCCTTAAAATTAGTATTTAATATGATTGTTTTTTTCACTGACATAATTTTCTCCATAAGATAATGTATGACAATAACTGTAGTGTGTTTGTGTAACTTTTTGTCTATTTCTCTGCATGTCATATAATAATTTAAAATCCCAACACTTAATTCAAGTGTTTCCAATGCCTTTTCTGCATTGCATTGCATGGGGATGCTGCTTGAGTTCATTTGACTGGGACATAGCACTGGTGTCCTGAACCCATGTTTGCTTCTCTTAGCATCTGAGAAACATTAAGTTTTGAAAATGATTCACATTTTATGGTAAACACAAATACTAACTCGGTGCTTCATCTTCCATATAGGAAATACAGCTTGTAAGTTCGTTTTGGCTATTGGAATAACAAACACAGTAACTTTAGTCACTGACCTCCAGAAATGTCCCAGTTCCGCTGACCATGCTGTGAGAAAGAGGATGTCACGCTGGTCACATGAGCAACTCATGTCTACTCGAGCAAGCGAAAGACATCTAAGTAAATCCATAGTTCAGGATCAGAGAAAAGCTCTAAAGAAAAGTGGATCAATACTAGTTTGTTAATGAAAGGGGGAAAGTCACCCCCCAAAAAAACCTCTATGTTCAATTGTAGAGAGGAGGGGAAGAGGTAAAATGATGGTAAAGAAGAGAGATGCTATGATAAAGGACAAAGATGTATACAAATCCCATCATTTGCTGGGATGAGATTAAAGAGACAGAAAATCCTTCTACTCAGTGAAGAGGACAGAGCTTCCAAAACACTGTTAAGGAGGATATGATAGAAGGGATGAAGAGATGGAGATATGGGAAGTCTGACGTGAGACCAGATCAGAGAGATAAGTGTGGGGTCTAACCCTGAAACAAAAACAATGAGAGCAAAGCATGTTTCACTGGGTCACCACTGAGGAAATGTTGATAAGGATTTGTGACAAGTTATCTATAAGGGTGGATGGATGGATGGATGGATGGATAGATAGATAGATAGATAGATAGATAGATAGATAGATAGATAGATAGATAGATAATGTATAGTTGATAAATACATAAATATAAATATTCATCAGGAGAGTGTACAAGTGCCAGAATGATAATATAATTAGCAGAACTAGGAATGGTAGCAAATGGAGGGGGCAGTTTCAGTAGAGAAATGAGTGAATCATAGCTGTAAAATACTAATGTAAATCTTAGTATTATTTAAATTAATAAAAAGACAATGGAATATCTATTTATAATATGTACTATTTTAGGGAAACTGGCTGAAACAAAGAAAGGTCACAAGCACATAAAAATATTGCTTTGAAAAACTAGGAAATCTGATGGGAAAAAGAACTAAAAAGTGCATCTGGATAGGATAATAGCATCGGTAACACACACACACACACACACACACACACACACACACAAACAGGTTAAGAGCACTGGCTGCTCTTCTAAAGGTCCTGAGTTCAATTCCTGGCAAAGACATGGTGCCTCTCCATCATCTACAATGGGATCTGATACCCTCTTCTGGCGTGCAGATGTACATGAAGATAGAGCACTCATAAACATACATCAATCTTAAAAGATAAACAAAATTAACATGATATTAATTTCCTGTCTCAATGCTAATTTAAAAAATAACTTTAAAAAGTCAGTAGGCTGGGACAGTGCTAAGAATATTCCTTTTGCTTTTCAAAATATTACTGGGCTGGAGAGATGGCTCAGCCCGTTAAAGGCTAGGCTCACAACCATAAATATAAAATATTATTATTTACAATTTATTCATTTAGTATCCAAGTTGTAGCCCCCTCCCTCATTTCCTTCTGGTTTCACACTCCCTCCCTCTTCCTCCCCTATCCCTCTTTCCTAATCCACTGATGGGGGAAGTCTTCCTCCCTTACTGTCTTAAGATCATCCTGAGTGAGGTAACCCAGAAGCAGAGACATGCATGGTATATACCCACTTATAAGTAAACATTAGCCATATTATATAAGAATATTCTTGTCACTAGCCATCACTACAAGTCTGTTCATATGCAGAAAAAACACATTTGGCTAGAGGGCCTTCCAATGCCTCATAGGACTCCTCAAGCTAGTGGCTGCTGTGATATTACTACCAGAGCCTAGTCCTGCCTAATGATGAGAATTAGGGATGAAGACTATATTGAGCCTCCTTTGTCCCAACTGTTCCATTTTAAAACCTCTAATTTGCTCTACATGACTGGAAAGACTTTCCAATTGAAAGCCTCATGACTTAAAATTTCCATATGTTAGAAGGGTGGAATTTCTGATTAACGTACCAACACCATGTTGCTTTTCACTCTGGAGTATTCTACCATGCCACACTGATCAAGGTTGGGACGAACTGAGCCTAGCAGCTCTGCTAGGACCTTCTACTGGGCTACCAATAATCAGAACTGCTGTGATTGTAGCCTCTGCAACTCATTTTTGTATCACTGAAGATGAAAACAGAGTTCAGTTTGGTTCTACCACAGGGAAGTCTTCCAGTTTAGCCCGAATTGCCAAATTCCTAAAGATCACAGAGCACCTATGTTCTCTTACCTAGGAGCATCTGTCCATGTAAGGTAGGGAAGCAGTAACTATGGACAGCATGGGAGAGAGTGTCCTTGACCGTGCCACTCCACACAACCTTCACAGCACTCTTTCAACTTACTCGTTTATTCCTACTTTTATGAAGAAAAGTAAGGCAGAAAATAAGCATTAAAGGCCTTCAGTCGTGAGTTAAGGAGAGTTTTGCCTGCTATCAAATCATGCTCAATAACTTGGTGACAGAGTATGACCTACCCACTGAAAGCCTTCCTCTGGCTTTTTTTATTTTCTGAATTATATGTATCTATTTATAGAAATGATAAGCATAGTTAAGTATGCGCAAAGCATAAAAAGGAGTTATTTGATCATTAAGCATATCTTAAAACTTACCCTAAACTATAAGTTCCTTTGCAATGGAATTTGGATTTCATTTTTTGCTTTCAAGAGTTGTTAATAAATAGTCTTATAGGAATTTCACGATATTCACTGAATGATTTCTGTGAGTGGTTTAAGAAGAAGAGACAGTCAGTGAAAGAATCCTGCCATTTAAACAGAGCCCCGCAGAAACATTCGGTCATGACTATCTGAACCACAGAATACCACGGAGAACCTGGAAAGTGTTATTGGCTCTGTCCTGCCAAGCAAACATGTTTAAAAAAATGAGGCAAATCTCTCCACTTTAATTAATGTCAACTGCTATGCTGATACTGAGATTCATTAGGGAGAAAACTCTCTCCGTCGCATGAGCTTGGCCCTTTAATGTATTGGTGGGAAATGACCTCCATGTTGTTGATAAATGTAGCTTCGAGTTTAAATAAGTGCAGGACTCATTCAATTACTCGGTGCATCTGCGAGCCGTCGTGATGTATGTTGTGATCATGAAAGGGAGGGAAAAAAAGGAATGGAAGGGACACAGGTTGATGTTTTCTGGACTGTGCAATACTCCTTCGCCACTCACTCACGTATTTGCTTGTTTGTTTTCGGCGTTCCAGGTGAAGGCGGACGACAGAGTGGTGAAGATGGACTTGGGTTTACTCTTCCTCAGAGTGCGCAAGTCAGACGCTGGGACCTATTTTTGCCAGACGGTAGAGCACAGCTTTGTCCACACGGTGCGGAAGATCACCTTGGAGGTGGTGGAGGAGCAGAAAGTGGAGGGGATGCTCCACAAGGACCACGAGGAGGAGAGGCATCACAAGATGCCCTGCCCTCCCCTCAGCGGCCTGCCTCAGGGGACGAAACCCTGGTACAAGGAGTTCTTGCAGCTGATCGGCTACAGCAACTTCCAGAGGGTGGAAGAGTACTGCGAGAAGGTGTGGTGCACGGAGAAGAAGAGGAAAAAGCTCAAAATGTCTCCCTCCAAGTGGAAGTACGCCAACCCGCAGGAGAAGAGGCTCCGCCCCAAGCCCGAGCACTTCCGCCTGCCGCGGCACACGCTGCTCTCCTGAGGGCGCCCTCTGCCGGCCGCTGCGAGCGGAAACGGTTACAGGCCACGCCTTTCCGGTTCCCCCGGGCGCTTTCTGTAGGACCGAGAGGCGGGAAAGGTGTTCTAAGTTATTCTGCATCCTCATCCGACAGTGCAAACCCCTCACCGCGCTCGTGCTTAAAAGGCCTCCACGTCGTATGCATCAGCACGCGACCGTGGCCGCGATTCTGAGTTTGCTTTTCAGGGAAATCGCTTCTCCACTTGGGATAGGTGTTCTGATTATAACATTAAAGTAAAGGTTATAGATTTTCATAATCGAGAGGAAAAAAAAAAAAAAGCAAAGCTAAATCAGCTCTGTCTTTCCGGAGTTTTCCTTGCAACCACGAGGTAAAATGCACAGAATAGCAAATAATTTAGGATTCTCACGTGAGTTTTCTGATCTGTTGCTGATTTTTATTTAAAGCCTTGAGTTTTAAGTAGTTGTGTTGTGGTCCTATTAACTAACCATAAAATAAACCTGCGACCCACCCATTCTAAGGCTTGTTTCCTTCATGAAACACTCGCTGAACTATGTTTAAAATATTTCTGTTTTATAAACAAGGCATATCCTTTAAATTTCACTTCAGTGTGGAAGGAAGGAAGGTAGCATCTCAGATATTTTTAAAAAGTGCCCAAGCATGAAAGCAGATTTCTAATCAGAAGGTCTGTGCTGCCCTCTTGTGGTAGAAGCAGGCATTGTCTCTCATAGTGCTGTTTCCATGATTGCCTTTCAAACGTTTGAAAATAAATTACGTGAGCAGAATCATCTAGTTTATTTTCAGAAGACTCAATTTAAAAAAAAAAAAAACATAATGACTTTTCAATGCAGTGAAGATAGTAACAGAATTCGGGCTTTAAAAGGTAGGCTTTCAAACCTTCCCTGAGACAAAAATAAAAAATAAAATAAAAACACTCTGGAAGTATGTTTTACCCGTAAAGAAATTATCAAAGCATTTTCTCTTAGAAACAAAATCTTCCTGTTTTATATTTGCTTCTTGGATTCATTTTACTACTGACATCTTCAGAGAATCGTTATCTTTGTCTTATAAATATTACCAAAATTTCTATTTTTCAGAATGTTTGTTTCTTGAAATCTTATCTCTTTATATTTTAAAGAGTTAGCAGCAACCTTTCTGAAATATAAGCTTTATGAGGATTTTCACTTAGGTAAGAGTAAAGCAATTGGGGTGTATATAAGAACAATTATGAATAGTTATTCAAACTTAAATTTAAATATTTATTTCTGCTATCTCTGTATGCTATATAATTAAGAATATAGAGTGTTGAGAATTTCTAATGGCTTTCTTTTTCACTCTAAGATGAGTAAGTACATAAGTATTCCACAGAGGCTTTTAAAGTCCAGAATTCCTAAAACAGCTAACAAATAAAAATAAACATTGACATCCTATGAATGTCCACATTTTATGGACCCCAGAATCCAGTGGAAATCATTGTCCATCAATAGTAATTGCAAAAAAGGTAGTAGTCAAAATTTTTAGAATACTGAATTTTAGGAACACAAAGGGATGAAATTCAAACTGGGGAATTGAAACCACAAACACATCTCACTAGTTCCTAAGGAGAGTGTATGTCTGGAATATTCCAAGTGAACAGACAAATATATGTGAATTTTGCAATGACTCTTCCACTAAGCAAGTTAGAGATAAGGGGAGGATTTTCTCTTAGACCTGTGTCAAATAACAAAAGAAAGTAAAGCACGTATGCATATGTGCATTTTAATCTTAATACACTGATAGGAAGTTAAAGAGGAAAATAATCATATTGTGAGCTAGGTAGAACTCAAAGACTTTTTTTTTTCAATTTTATCACTGTGCACGAAGATTAAATAGGACATTAATCAGAAAGTAAAATTAAAATAAAATGGGTCAAAAGTTATTCTGGAAAAATAAGTTCAATCCAAGAAGAGTTTTAAAAATATATTGATTTAATGAAATCTGATAAAATGTTGAGGGCTTGCGTCTTCTCCCTCTTCTGAGGGAGAACACTAAATTATATATAAATATGTATTTATATGTACATATATTCATGTATAATACATCCTCCTACATATCTGTTTATGATAGTAGCTTAGGAAAATCAGGGGAGAGAGAGAGAGAGTAGTTTCCAATGTACCTGGGTCCTCTTTCCTTCTGACCTCCCTTGCATGTAGACCTCCACGTAGGTAAGATACATCGTTAAGCCCTGTCAAAGTTCAAACCAACAAAATACAAGCCTAGTAACTGTTTTGAAAATCTGAAGCTTGCTACATAAATGTCACTAGTCTTTTGTTGGACCTGGGCTTAGAATCCAAATATACTTTCCTTTGAAACCAATTCCATAGAGAGAGGCAACGAGATGCCTGCCCACCTTGAACTCGGAGGAGATATCTATAGGGCTCTGAAAAAAGAAACACCCAGACATGACCTTGGTAAACAAAATGTGTCCTCAAAACACACAGCTGACTCAAGAGCCTAACCTCCCATCCTTGCTCCAAAGAGGCCTTTCTGTATAGCCAGTCTCCTGCTTCTCCAGAGCTCATGCTATAATTGAAAACAAGTTTCTGTCTCCCTCAACATAATGTGTCCTACTTAGCCACAGATCCAGACACATTAGGAAGTCCACGCTTAAAAGAGATGTCATGACTTCAGAAATCGTCCCGTGCCTAGTGTTCTGCATTGCTATCTTTCTTCTTTTGCACTAAATACTGACTGTTTCAGAGATAAATTTTCAACATCGAGAAACACAAAAGAAAAACAGATAAATCCAGAGCTGGGGATGAAAAGTCTACATTGGTTTTTGTAAGTTTCAATGCATACAATATGTGATTGTCTATTCTATACTTTACCCTAAGTGTCTTCCTTTCCTTTCCACAATTGACAAGATTAGTAGGACACTTTTACTGACTATCTAGATATCTCTGTGGGATATAGGATTTTGTAAATCTTCTTAGTAATTATGAATATTTGTAAAATTTGTACAATATAACAAATCATTTTTGATGTTAGTCTTAAGCATGAAAGAAAGAGCAATTGTTGTCCTTAAAAATGGTGTCCTTGGCCTGTCAAACATGGAGAACTTAATGTTTCTTAGATACTTTATATCCCAGGTAAAAGTCACACACTTGTGATGAAAAGGGGTCACTGGCTCCTTTTAAATGTATGACTCATTTTTCAGGCCAATAATTGTTTATTTGAATCAGAAATAATTGTAATATTCTTCACACACTCTCTTTTACTTGTAGCAGCATTGTTTTAACTGGTATTTTGTTATCTTGTTGTCTTGGAAGAACAACTTTACATACTGGATTTTATTATACATAAATTGGCTTAGCTCTGAGCTAGAGAACAATTGGAGTGTCTTCATCTCTATGGTATCTTTTGTCTCTGGCAGAGTTTATAAAGCATGTGCCATATTGTTTCTTACTGATGATGAGCTCTGAACTCATTCTCACCTGGTTCTGAGCTACAGGGACAAGTGACTGTGTGTCTCCTTGACTATCATGTAGTTCCAACCCCCTACACTACACAAATTCTGTACTATTAAATGAAATTTCTATTTCGCTCAGCTTAGATGAAAAAGAAATAAATATTCTTCAAAACATTAAGTGAGAAGTATTTTCTCTTCTTTCTTTTCCTTCCCGCCCTCCTTCCCTCATTTCCTTCCTACTTCCTTTCCTCCCCTTACTTTCTTATTCCCTTTCTCACTCCCTTTCTTTCTTCCTTTTTTCTTCCTTCGTTCTTCCTTTCCTTCCGTCCTTACTTTCTTTTCCAGATAAGCACATTTTCTATACCCAGCCTGACATGAGCTATGATGCCCAGCTGAAGGACTTTCTTTAACTTAGAGAAGAATTCAGTGTTCTTTCTGAGAAGTTGTTGGCAATTTTTCCAAGAAGAAAAGTATCATTAATCTCTCTTAATAACAGTGGAGTTTATTGAGGTCATGCTAGATTTCTAGAACCATCAGACAGAAACCCATTCAGTATTCTATCCTCCAAATAAGAGGCAGAAAATTAGCATGCCCCAAATAGCAGCTATTTGAGTGTTGCTGGGGATGGGGACTGTTGGATTGTTGCAAGCCTCTAGTTCTATTTCAATGAATCCAAACTTCTGTCTTCTCCTCTAGATTTATAGCCTGGGAGAGACTGTTTAAATGAAGTTTTATGTTAAATGAATGTCTATTTGAGAGTTTTGTTTTGTGGTCAAATTTTGTACTATTGGTAGGTTTAAAGTTTCGAAATAATTTGGCGCCAAGTTTAGGAATAATGGGAAAATGGGTGTGGCACTGCAATCGTGGTAAGTGTGTAATTTGAGTTTGTAAGCACACAGCTATCTTCTCAAAGGCAGTAGGAGGGAGTTAGTCCTGAAACTAGATGGGAGTGACCACTGCCTTGGGATAGGGATTTAGGTTGCTACAGATGCCGTGCTATGCCAATAGAGTCAGTGGTTCACAAAGTTTTTATAGTCAAGCCCTCTTCAAATACACTGGTGGAAACAACTGGCTGGCAAATACAGACAAGTAAGGAAGTGCCAGCAAATGGGTTTCAGGTGCGGTCTGATGACATTCTTAGCAGCTGGGTGACAAGTAGAAATCTGTTAATATGTTCCAAAAGAACTTACCTGATAGCCACAAAGATGTCAGTCGCATGAAGAGCCAGTGAATGAGTCGCTAGCTCTCATGGGTGCTAAAGATACTCCAAAGTAATTGGTTTCAGCCTGCACCATTCTCATTCTCCACTGTCATGGACTCTCTAACCCGTTAATCAATCTTTTAGAATCTTCAACACAGGTTCTGTCTTTTGGGAACTTTTGGTTTATGGTCTGTTTTAAATTTGCATCATTCTGTGGTTCAAGGCCTATTTTCTGTGTACTACTTGATGAGACCATCTAAATTGCTCTACATATATTTAGTAAAAAGGGAAAGATTTTGTTAATTAGAAGCATCTTCCCTAGTACTCAAAGAAAACGAAAGTATGTTTTTTGTTAGTTTTGCTTCTGATATGTGGGGATCTAATCCAGGGCCTTGCACAAGCTAGGCAGTTGCTCAATGACTCATCCATCTTCTCAGTTCAGAATAACACCAGAGGCCAAGCGAGGTCCAGGCATGGACCTCCCCATGAAATAAACCAAATTCAATACATTATGGTTGTATAGCTTGATGTTCTTGCAGTACTCCTAACGGTGAGAATGGGGGTGTCTCTGAATCTCTCAGCTGCTTTTGGAACCCATTTCCTCCTCCTGGGTTGCCTTGTCCATCCTTGATATGAGGGTTTGTACACAGTCTTATTCTAACTTGTGAGGGCATGTCTGGTGAGGTGAAACATAGAAGTTAATCTATGAGGGAGAGGGCAGGTAGGGAAAGGGACTGGTAGGAATGGGGAAATTGCAGTCGGGATGTAATGTAATGTGTGAGAGGAAATATATATGTGTTTGTGTATGTGTGTGTGTACATCTACATATATAGTATATATACATATATATACATCTGCACACACACACGCTTCTTAGGGATGAAAGCCAGTAGCAGACCTGCTATGGCAAAAGCCAGTGCTGAAGAAGTGCTCAGACAGCCAGGCTGAAATCCACTGAACAAAGTTGCAAAAGCCTTAGACTAGGCAACCAAAGGCTTTCATTTGATGCCCTCCAATCCGCAGGGGAGCAGGAAGTAGGACTCCATCAAGTTAGCAACTAATTTTCAACAAAGGTGTGAACAAGACACTGTCTGTTTTAAACAAATGTTGTTAATTTTTGGTATCCTCATGCGGAAGCATGAAGGCAGAAACTACCATTTCCAAGGTCTTACATAGGTCAGGTTAGTCTCAAAGTTTCTAGCACTCTCTCGGGTTTGTTTTTTTGTTTTGTTTTGTTTTTGCTTTTTGTTTTATTTTTATATTTACATCCCGACCAGAGTTTCTCCTCCCTCTCCTTCCTCTGGCTTCCCCTCTCCCCCAGATCCATGGCTTCTCCTCCCGTCAGAGAAGAGCAGGCTTCTGAAGGGGGACATCAGACAAACACGGCACAACAAGCTACAATAACTACCATCACAACAAGGCTGGGCTAATCAACCCAGTAGGGGAAAAAAGGTCCTAAGAGTA